TTGTAAGAAAGTGAGGGGCGGCCAGACCAAAACATGGCAGAAATCCATGAAATCATTGACTAGTGGACTGAGCCATGTCGGTAATTGTCGACTACTTGGTTGGGGTCCGCGAGATGATAATAATCGATGGTTAGAGACCTTGAATGACATGGCTCAAAATCGTTCGCAATGGCGCCGGTGCATTTATTCTTTGTGTTCTCTCAAATCCTAATCTTCTGGATTCTTCAACAACTCTAGTTTTGACTTTCTAAACTTTTCTCACTGAATCATACTTTTTGAATAATATCTTCTAATCCTAACCTGTCCGATTACTTCTAATTCCCTTACTACTTCTACTACTATTGGATTTGAATTGACAATTATATCTCTGTGCTGATGTGGTATGGCAACATGAACTGATGTACATACGCACGAAGTTCTACGTTGCATCTGACTGACTGACTGTGTCGCATGTAAGATAAGTGTGATGGTGTATCGTTCTCTATGAGCTGGATGTTTTGGTTGAGGACTTTGGAATATTCTTCCGGCACAAACTTAAGATAGAAGCGACTTGCGAGATATATGTGGAGAAATTCACATACTTCACTTCTATGTGAATTTTGTGCTGAGGATGTTGTTGAAAACTCCACATTTGAAACTTCCTGCTCAGAGAATGAAACGTCACCACAATGACAGTGTTTGCAATCACTCAGTGTCAAATGAAAGACACAATAATGTCTAAACCTCATGATTCTAAAACGTTATGATTGATGGTTATCAGTGAAATCTAGGAAGTAGGCTTTTTGTAACTGGAAATTAACCATTCATGTGATTCTTGAAAGATTTCGGACTGACTATCACGCTCTGTTTTCATCTTAGTTTACTACAAAAATCACATTTATTGCTCACTGTGTGTTAGGATATTCATCCAATATCCTAAGAGAATTACTGGTCAATTCCTATTGGTTCATTCCTACTGGTCAATTTTATGGTCGTCCTAGATATCAGTGTCACGTGATCCAATGTTGTTTCTTGTTGGTTGTCCTGACTATCAATGTCACTTCAAATGTTACTTCCTAATGATCGTCTTAACTGTCAATGTCACAGACTTAGAAGCTGTTTCCTATTCGACCAAAATGTATAAATACACATTATCTGTAACGTTTTATGACCACGACCAGTACCCGGTCCTGGTCCCTAGTCCGGGATTCTGATTCTCTTCTGGATTCGGACCTCGTACTTTCTAAATGCTTGTAGAATACATGTTCTACTTCACATTCAAGTCTTCTTATTTTAACTCAATATGGAGGTTGGGATAATCGGATTTGATTAGCATGTCGTGTCGCCGGATCGTTCATCCTCGCTCTGGTTTTCCGACTAGGTAAACTCGTGATACTTCAAGTATATCAAGTTAACTTGTCTGCGTGCAGTCGTAACACTGTGCTATCATCTGAATTCAAACATTTTATAGTTTGTGAGTTGGAGATGTTGTTCAATTGTAGAAATACTGTCCTTCTTTTGTCGATCTACGCCTTCACATCAGATCTACTTTGTTCATCATTGATGCTGTCCAGCTATGTGAATCCTCTTTTTTTACATCTTTCAAAGCTTCATCATCCTGTGTGTATCTTGTGTGTGTTGTATCAGAGAATCTTGCTTTTCCCTTACTGTAAATATTGAAAACTACTGCTGTTGACGCTGCTGCTAGACTGGTCGTTTTCTCTTGGACTTGTTGTTGCCTGTGTGACAGAATAGCCAGATCATCTGCGAAATTCAGGTAGTCCACCTTATAACCTATGAAATTTTTAACAACACAACACTCTTTATATGTATTCAATCTTACTACTTAACCATTATGATCAATTGTCCAACGTTTACTCAGTAAAAAGCCTTGAATTTCAAACTATTATTGGTTGTAGACTGTTGATAAGAGAATGAAATGAAATATAAAAAAGATTGTTTCTAGTCTACTCACTTCTCTCTCTCTTCAAGATAAACAAAATGCAACTCAATGTTTGAAACATCTGAATTCAACTGGTTGTATATTTTTTTTTCCTCAATAAAACATTTACAGTTTTATGCAAAAATTTATCTCAAATGTTAAATTTAACATGAAGCATAAGAGTTAATCAACAAATTCACTGTATGATGATAAATATCGCTTAAAGACAAACATGGAATAGTGATCGATGAATTTTTCTAACGCCTTAACATCAAGTCAGTTTTATATTCTCAAATAAATGATTGACTGAGATAAGTGGGGCATAGGACCTGTGTATGTTGTAGATTTTATTGTATACTTAGTTAATAGTAATCGAATTTCCCTGTTATGACAAACATACACACCAACCATGTAGTCAATTTGAAGTGACTATTTTAAAAAGATAATTCACAAAAGTTTTTAAAGTCGACTATTTTAACTCAACATGGATTAAGAAATTGCAAAATCTTATAAACCATACAATCGATGGTCACTTTTTCTCCATTATGGGGTTGTGGAGATCGTTGATTTACCCTTCGAAATCATTAGAAAAAAGTGCAACCACTGGACTACTGTTTCTTCCTGGTATAAGACTCGTCAGAATTGTACATCGGCGACACTTGCCAGTCGCTGGATTCGAACCCAGGAGTTTTGATCAAGCACGCGAACTCCTAATCTCTGAACCAATGAGCCATTATTTGACGGTTTTAATGTTTAACTTTGGTTAATCCACAGTCCTGCGTATGCTCATTTACTGTTTCACATTCAAATAGGGTTAAACTCTACTGTTCACGAATTTTCAACTAGACCTTGGCGAAACTCTTTCACGGAGCTAGTCACTAAGGCGTATAATTTTCTAATGGTGGTCTAAAGTTCGTTTCATAATATTTTTTCACCATATATTTTTCACAAATATCGGATTATTTTAAATTTTATTTTATTACACCAGGAATTTTGAACAGTATAACTTACTTACTTACTTACTTACGCCTGTTACCCCCAATCGAGCATAGGCCACGCCCCAGTTTTCTCCAACCTACTCTGTCCTGGGCTTCCCTTTACATTTTTGTCCAATTTTTGTTCATTCTTCTCATATCTTTCTCTATTTCTCGGCGTAATGTGTTCTTTGGCCTTCCTCTTTTCCTTTTGCCTTGAGGGTTCCATGTGAAGGCTTGTCTTGTGACGCAGTTGGGTGCTTTTCGTAGTATGTGTCCTATCCACTTCCACCGCTTCTTCCTGATTTCCTCCTCCACTCCAATCTGGTTTGTTCTCTCCCACAGTGTAACAATAACAGTTAATTATTTACTTACGCCTGTTACCTACAATCGATTATAGATCACCGACCAGAATTCTCTAACCTACTCTCTTGCTGGCCATTATTTCTAGCTTTGTCCAAATGTTATTCATCCTTTTCAAACTTTGTCTCCATTTTTCGGCGTAATATGTTCTTTGGTCTTTCTGTTTTGTTTCAATTTTGAAGTTTCTAATTGATGTCTTGTCTTGTGATGCAGTTGGGTGCTTCCTTAAGTCCAGTTTACCTATCCACTACCAACAGTGCTTACTGACTTCTCTCTCTTTCTGATTTCTCTCTTAGCTGGTTTTTTTTCCTCACACAATAGGTTACTGCTGATAGTATTTGACCAATAAATCCAATGTATTTTGCGTAGAAAACTGTTAACACACATTTATATCTTCTGAATGATGACTTCAGTAGTTTTCCAAGTCTTCACCTCATACAATAGAAATGTTTTGACATGACTCTCTTAAGTTAGTCAAATGCCTCGTCATCTAATTGAATGGTTATATTAGATGACGCGCATAAATGGAGCCTTTTGGCTGTTGTGGTGGTGGCTACCTCTTCGTGGTCCTGCCAGGCAACGTTGCTTTGTTTACAGCGCTGCGGCTTAAAGCCGTTCTGAACGCTTAGGATACCCTGCCTAGCATGGTCCAGAATAATGGCACATGTTCATAGTCGCAAGGCTGTGGATGCGGTTAGCCACTTTGGGTGATTAGGACTGAACGCCTCTAAGTCTGAATCCCGTCCATCGAGCGTAGGTAAATCCCGATAATGGTTTGAGGACTTGTCCTCTATCATTCCGTTATAGCAAATACCTTGAAAGGGACGTAGCTTTCCAGGATGGTTGAAGGCGGCCCTAGACGTTATGTTTGAGGAAGTAGCCATAGATATCTTAGACTATTGACGCTGACCCTATGTGGTTATCCCGAACACTCTACATCTCGGTGTATCGTGTAAACTGTCGTCGAGTCCCCTTAAACGAGGGTCTCCATTTGGGTTATGTGATCCGATGCGAAAGGGTACTGGACACCAATACTGTCTGCCCACTTCTGTGGGATTAACCCAGCTTGGTCGAGTGCTTGCACTTGCTTAAGTCCATGACATCTTCCCCATGGAAGTGTGTACGTTTCGGCTGGCCTTGTGGGACAAACTCATGTGTGGTCAGGACAAAACGTATGTTCCCGATTGGGGCAGGGGTGATCACTAAACGGCTACAGTGAAAATCCTTGTGTTGCCTAAAAAGCAGCGATGTGCATGTGCAGCGGGCTTGTCGATTAACCAACATATATTTATATATATACATTCTAAAGACTGGTAACCATGAAAGATTGAAAATAATATCTGAGGTTATATATTTGAATTAAATTAGATTTATCTCAGTATGTATTGACTTCTCCGAGGATGTAATGTGAAAAAGAGCATCTGTTGCTCTAGTGAGTTTGTTCATCTACAAATGTTTCATTGTTCTTCTGATGAAGTTGTTCAGCAGAACAATGAAGTTCCACAACCAGCTCAGAGAATGAAACACCACCACAGAGCAATGTTTGCTGATACAATTCAAAAGAGCTCACCTTTATGGCCGCTGTTACATTTCATACCAGTAATTCAGCAGTTATGCAACGTAAGACAGCGAATGTTGAATCAAATCAAACGGTATCATATACTTAAATTTATATATCAGTAGTATAGTACGTATATATATTTATAATTTTTTTCATTTCGATTCTTTACCCATCCACATAGCTCATCTTCCTTTACAATGTTGGATACCACAAGAATTTTCACGTAGTTGGGAAGAATATGCTGAACATTATTGTTGGGTAACAAATACATATTTCACTAATATTCAATCATCTATCCCACCAATCGATCAACGCACTACAATTGTACGTTATTATCAATGGGCTACATTTGTATTTATATTACAAGCCGCGGGATTTTTTCTGCCTTGTCTTATTTGGCGATTACTTCAGGTTAGTTTACAGGTTTGTAGTTGTTTTCATTTTGGGGGGGGGGTTTATTTCGAGTTACAAATCGAGTCACAAATTGATTAACGGTCGTCCAGTGCTTTCGCGTTTCCTAATGTGGTCCATGTTAGGATATTCATCCAATATCCTAAGAGAATTATTGGTCAAATCATATTGGTCGATTTCTGTTGGTCAAAATTATGGTCGTTTTAACTGTCAAAGTCAAATACTTCAATGTTGTCTCTGATTGGTCATCCGGACTGTCAATGTCACTTCAAATAATACTTCCTATTGGTCGTCTTAACTGTCAATGTCACAGAATTCAATGCTGTTTCCTATTCAACTCAAATGTATTAATACGCATTATTTGTAACGTTTTATGACCACGACCAGGACCAGGACTCGGTCCCGGATACCTAGTCCGGGATCCTGATTCTCATCTGGATTCGGACCTCGTACTTTCTGAATGTTTGTAGAATACAGGTTCTACTTCATATCACGTCTTCTTATTTTTACTAAATATGGGGTTGGTTGTGATAATCGGATTTGAGTAGCATGTCGTGTCACCGGATCCTCGATTCTCGCTCTCGTTTTCCGACTAGGTAAACTCGTAACTGTTCAAGTATAATAAAATGACGTGTTTACGTGCAGGCATAACAGTCCAACACTGGCCGCTTCATGACTCCGATACAGTTCTGAGTTTACTTTTAAATATCATTACGTAAGGCGTAAAATAGTTACAGTAGTACGTATGGTCACCGAAATTATGACCCAATTCATTATACTGCTTGATCTCACTATGGGATTGTGAAGATTGTTGAGTTACTTATTGAAATCATCCATCGATCAGTGTCACATCACCATCAGAGTAAACTTGGAAGCCTTAACACCGTTGGATGCCACCCTCTCAGTAGTCCACAAGTTAGGCGTTTGTGGTTGATAGATAGATCAGGAAAATCATAGGTGACATAGGATCAAGAAACAGATCAAAAGGGGGATGCAATCAAAACAATGTCGCAAACAACGACAGGACATAGGTCAACGGCAACCAATCAAGATCGAGGTTAGCAGAACAAGCTACAGGTCAAACGGTGAGAAATTCGAATACTTCACTTCTTCTATCTGAAGTTTGTGCTGCTGATGATGTTACTGTTCAGTAGAAGAACAATGAAAGCTCCACAACCAAAACACCAAGCTCAGAGAATCAAACACCACCACCACAATCATCCACCTGAGCTACAAATCTTCTCCACCATCTCACAGGTTAGGCGTTCCCACAGAAGACGGAATATCCTGGGTTCGAATTCTCTGAGGTGTAGGAGTCTTGCATGCACACTGCTGGTGGCAATCCAGTGCTTCCAGGTTTCTAAAGGTCGTCTTACATTATTCAATTGATGATTTCAAAGGATTACGTGAATTTTACAATTTATCAAACCGTATCTTTTAGTGATCTTCATTCATTCATTGTTTTAATGTTGATAACTTATGCGATCACCGAAATACTAATTACCGTTCATATATACATCTTAATTCATAAGAATCAATAAACCTTAATTATCATATCCATTCCAACATGATTTTGTTCATTAATATCAATTACTTAGCCATTTAATGTTAGAAAGCTTTTTACAATTAACAGAAAATAACTAAATAAAAAGCATCTTATTTTAGACTGATTGAAACTGTAACAGAAATATAGAGGAAAGAAAGCTTTAGTAGAATAATTAAAAATGTTTTCTGATCAATTGAAATGATAACGAGGATAAATTTTGACGAAAAAAACGATAAACTGACCAAAAAATAATCACTTTTAACTGAAAAATGTAAAAATGAATACAGTTATGGTGAAGACTTTTGTTCTAATCGAAATGAGCTGAATAAAACGTTACTGTCTGTAACCATGAGAGGACGTGAACAGTGTAGATCAACCCTGTGTTATGCCTACATGTAAACACGTCAACTAGATGGAAAACGAGAGCGAGGATCGAGGATCCGGAGACACGACATGCTACTCAAATCCGACTATCCCAACCAACCCCCATATTGAGTAAAGATAAGAAGACTTGAATGTGAAGTAGAACATGTATTCTACAAGCATTCAGAAAGTACGAGGTCCGAATCCAGAACAGAATCAGGATCCCAGACTAAGGATCCGGGACCGAGCCCTGGTCCTGGTCGTGGTCATAAAACGTTACAAATAATGCGTATTTATACATTTTGGTCGAATGAGAAACAGCATCGAATTCTGTGAGATTGACAGTTAAGACGACCAATAGGAGGTAACATTTGAAGTGACTTTGATAGTCAGGACAACCAACAAGAAACAACATTGGAGCATGTGAATTTGATATCTAGGACGACCATAATTTTGACCAGTAGGAATGAACCAATAGGAATTGACCAATAATTCTCTTAGGATATTGGATGAATATCCTAACACCCTGTCATGTGTAGTCACTAACCACCATAGACAATATTTGAGGTTGCACAAAATCCTGAGAATGATCAGAATTAGACATCAGCATCATTGTATACCGGCTCAGTGATACAGAGGTTAACCACACTCGAGTTTGATCGAAGATCCTGGGTTTGAATCCTGCGGGTAGCAAGGGTTGTGGATGCGTACTGCCGCTTTTTAGTACTTCCAGCTTTATAATGTCCGTCTAACAAAGATTCATTCTAGATTTCAACATAAAACAACAATCGTTCTGATACCATCATGCAAAATCCATGAATAAGTCGGTTGTACTGATACGAAATACGTGCAGACGTCATCAGCAAAGCTAAGCCGTGTCAAGTGTGAGTAAAGTACTTTTCCAAGATAGGTGAAGATAGTTGCCCACTATCGTACACAAATGAATCTTGACTCATTGGTCTAGGTGCTAGTTGTTTGCGTACGTGACCGAAAGTACTTGATTCATCTACTGTGTGCTAACTGCTACGAAGTCACATATTATGAGGAAACGGCAATTTAGTGCTTCCTATACTGACAAATGCAATACACTTGGAGCTATATTGAATAATTACTGCAAAGTTATCAGTCTTATTTTTGTTAAGTTTCTGGTGCTTATTAGCATCTCTCCATCAAGTCGCAATAGAACTACAAGACTAAGTGACTTGATATCACATTCAATGTGTTCTGAATTCAGATGTTGGCCGGACCAGTATTTCAGCATACTTTGGAATTGTTATGAAGGTGTTTTAGGCGCTGGTACCCCTGTTTCCCAACAACACTTTCAGTCTATCAAAAGTAAAATCGAGACTTGAGTAGCTCGATGGTGGGGTTTGAGAGTAGAAATAGAAGCATTAGTTCTGTAAATACTGATCATACAATTTACTACAAAATAGAAACTATCATAAAACTTTGGTCTAGAATGTTTTACTCACTTGTGAAATATAGTTCAAATGTTTCCATTGTGCTTATCACTGCAAAATAAGAATCTCTTTCGTCAACTGTGTATAGATTGAACAAACAATCAATCTTCTTCTGAACTCAATAATTAAGTGATCAACACGTCGTTGTTTGTAGAGAAAGGTAATAGGTTCGAATCCCGGTAATAACATCAACTCTGTTATATATGTGCATCAAGCTGGAGACGAGTGTAGTCAAGGAGAACACAGGTGAGGACAACCGAAATTGTATTTAACGAAAATTACGGAGTTACTCAGTAAAATAGGAAAACCATATCTTAACCGTTGATTTGCAAATCTTCAATCCATCATCAATCCATTGTCCGACATTTCACTATTCATGCGTTTCATACAAATTCCATTGTGTTCTTCTAACTCTTCCTTTCTTGATCTTCCCCCATCTTCTGCTGCCAGACATTACGTTTACACTCACGTCATATACTACTTATAAGTAGCGCGCACCACACATGTTCCAATATTCATTTTTGACTAAAATATCTATTACGATCAGTTTATTCACAATTGTCATCTGAAACTTTTTTACTTTTCACATTCAGAATCATTCAGGATTTCATGTTCAACGAATCATGCGTAGTGCAGTTCGTTTAAATTGTACCGAAACTGATTCATCCCAATTAATTACCTATGGATTAGCACGTTATATTGATAATGTAATTTATCACAGATCATATAAACAATGGTCTGTTCACAATTCATCAAAATTGAAATCAAATTTTACACAAAAAACATCACAACAGAATCCAATGACGAGATCAGTTCAAAAATCCACATCACATATATCCTGTTCTACAACAATCACATCCAGTTCACGGCGGGAAATCGGTGCAGAGACGAAACTTGTGAAATTTGAAAATGAATCTTTGCCAATGACAGAATCATCACAGCATCAATCGAAAACGCTACCAGTTCAATCTACAACCATACGAAGTTGTAAAAAGCAACGTGCACCACAACCTCCCATCACAACTACTACCATTACTATTACTACTACTACTACTACCACAGCTACGACCACTACTACTCCTACTACTACTGTAGCTACTACTACTACTACTACCACTACGGCTACAACTACTACTACAGCAAGTGTGATCACTTCTAAGCAATCGGTAAAATTAAATTCTGATCAAATAACTTACTCAACTACTCCTTTATTAAAACATTCTTCATCTAGTACAAAATCGAAATTCAGTTGTTTACGGAAACAAACGAATCATGAAAAATTTGCTTCCCCACTATGTAATCCATGTGGATTGTGTTTGGCAAATTTACCGCTGGTTGATAAAAAATCCAAATCTCAACTGACTCAACCATTGGTAACGAATTCGACCGTTGGCGAAATACCGACGACAGAGATTGAGACTACAACTACCACAACAACAGCTACAACAACCGCTGTCACCGTCGCTGATATTCTATCCAATCCAATGAACAATTCAAGTGAGTATCCTTTTTATCAGTTATGTTTTTTTTTACAGTAGTGGTTAGAATTTTTCAGAGAATAATTTATTAAGATTGTGTGTGTATAAAAATGTGTGTAGTGCGCTTGACTTGTCCCACTAGTGATCCTCTTGTCTGCCTGTGTTTGCGATTAACTACTAACTTACTTACGCATGTTCATCCCAATTGAGCATTGGCAGCCGATCGCTATTCTTCACACAACTGTGTCTCGGAGTAATGTGTTCCTTGGCCTTCCTCTTTTCCATTGATCTTGATGATTTCAAGCCTTTGTATGGATTAATTAATCTGTTCTTACTGAGTTATTCAAACATGATTTCTCCTAAATTCATGATTTTTTATATTTGTGAGCGAGTATTACTTACTTCGCTCATTGTAAGTCTGGCACATTTTTATCTGATTGTTATAACTTAGTCACACCTACTCAAATGGAGTTGTTCAACATGTCTTCACCGCCTCAAATTATTTCTCCTTTCCACTTGTGATCCTCCTGTGTGCCTGTGTGAGCGATTACCTACTAACATACTTATGCATGTTCACCTCAATTGAGCATAGGCAGCCGATCGGTATTCTTCACCCTACTATGTCTCGGAGTAGTGTTCCAACTAACTGTCATCGGTATATCTTGTTCTGATCGACCCCTGGTTTTCTTACAATCAAAGGCCAACGCCAACAGACATCACATAGTGCGGTAGACAATAATTGCGCAGAATTCAATTTTGTTCCATTCCCATTTGAATAAAGACCTATATGATGTAAAGTGAGGTTGTGTGATGTAGCAGTGTACTTCAGTCATTAAGCAGAGATTCTAAGTGAACTAATTGTTTGTTAATGTGAAACTAATGAGACGTCATGTAATTAATCAGATGTTGTGTGTGTGTGTTATATCACGTGTGACATAATCGCGGTATTTTATTATTCCTCAGGATGAGTAAATCGCCTCGATGAGCGATGCATTGTACCATAGCAGTTGGTTGGAAGAAAGTTAGATAGGCGGCCAGATAAACAGCATGACACAATTCGATGAAGTCACTGACAAGTGGACTCATCCATTTTAACAGATGTAGACTAACTGGTTGCTGTCCGCGAGATAATAGTAACCAACAGCCAGAGACCTTGAATGGTAATGACTGAAAATCGCTTGCAGTGGAGCAACTGTAGCCACTCTATTTGTGTCCTTCCAAAGTCTAATCATCTACATTCTTCATCGTCTCTTTCCCCCTTTTTAAATCTATTTAATTGGGTTATACATCTTTTATAATTTCGTTTAGTTCCTTAACCATCTTCATTATCGCTAGTAGTTCTACCGCATCTATTACTATGAGATCCGAATTGTCAATCGCTTATCTGTGGGCAGTCATGATATGACAACTTGAAATGATGTAAGTACTTACGAAGGTACGAAGGCTTACGTTTCTTGCTGACTAAGTGATGATGTTTTCGGGCAGAGTTTTTGGAGGTTTTGTGTTTTTTTACACATTTGAAATCATCAATCAATCATTGTTAGACCACCATCAGAAGAAACCTGGAAGCATTGGACGGCCGTTTCGTCCTGGTATGGGATTCATCAGCAGTGCGCATCCACGATGATGAGTAAATTGTCGCAAATACATAAGATATTTGTATATTTAATAATATCTGATAATAAATACTATTTAAGTAGTATTATTCAAGTTATTTTACATATTTAAACCTTCCATTACAATAATATTTAACGGTGTGTGTGTTTAGTTAGTTTAACCTGAGGCAGAAAAACCTAAACCCTCATGAGTTCATTAAAACAACGATAAACTGATGTAAAGTTCATAATTGGGTGTGAATAATTCTGATTACATTTGTTACCTTTTTCTCACAGTTTATCCGTTTAAAAGAAAAATTATTTTTGATTATTTCTTCATTGTTTCTCATGATAGGTTCTTTTCTTTCCTGTCAAACAGCTGATGATATTTTCTTATTTTTCACATGCTGAAATGTTCTTTGAAGATTGTGACCAAACTGGTCTCGTGCGCTGTTACAGGTATAGAGCTGGATGTCACTTCCTAATTTTGGGGAAGTTAGATCCTTAGAACTCGCTTGATAAATATCTTTATTTTGAATTTATTTCATGGATCGATCAGTTGACCTTGAGATCATATTTCCCACCAGGAAAATCCTTGGCTGTGATTGGTTACTGTGTCATTTTAGTGTGCTATTTTTGTGACTGTCCTAAGGACGTCTCTATAGAGTTTAAATAGACGCAATTTGAGTGCTCAGATTCATTGTGTGCTGGCAGGGTTTTTGTAGAATGCACTTTCTGCACTACATCAAGACTTCTTACTGATACCTTTTGGTCAAGGGATCACAGTAGCCTACCTGGACACTGGTTCATCGTTTCGTTCTGGTTATTTGACTAAGGTGAACACGTAAAAGTTTAAGCATACCGTCTTACGTTATGGCTGTGAAACATGGCCAGTGAGAGTAGAAGATATTCGTAGGTTATTGGTTTTCAATCATGCGTGTCTTCGAATCATTGCTCGTATATCCTGTGACACCCGAGTGAGCAACGCTGTTATTAGGAATCGGGTGCTAGGTAAGAATGGCATATCAATAGATGAAGTAATGAAAATTCATCAGTTCAGGTGGTCGGGACATGTGATGCGTATGCCTAACCACCGAGTGCCTCGACGAGCTTTGTTTTGTAGTGTATGAGTAGGTTGGGAGAAAGTTAGGGGCAGCCAGACCGAAACATGGCAGAAATTCATGAAGTCAATGACGAGTGGACTTAGCCATGTCGATAGATGTAAGCTACCTGGTTGGTATCTGCGAGACGAAAGTCATCAGTTGTTAGTGACCCTGAGTGACATGGCTCAAAACAGTCTGCGATGGCGCAGGTGCATTCATTCTTTGTGTTCTCTCAAATCCTAATCTTCTGGATTCTTCAACCCATCGAATTTTGACTTTCTAAACTTTTCTCATTGAATCATACCTCTTGAATGATATCTTCTAATCCTAACCTCTCCGATTACTTCTAATACCTTCACTACCTCTTCTACTATTGGATTTGAATTGACAATTATATCTCTGTGTTGATGTGGTATGGCAACATGAACTGATGTATTTACGTACGAAGTTCTACGTTGCATCTGATTGACTGACTGTTATCACTTATTTATATGAAAAACTTCATTGTTTATTCTATCATTGTCTAGTTAAAGTTCTTCAGTTAGCTCACGTTCAGGTGCATGACACAGCAACCATCCTACCTCCATCACTAATTGTAACACGTGTAACCAGCAGTCGCTGAAGGGCAGAGACAATCTAAAATCACAACACACATGGTTAGTTTAACACCTCACAACACCAAGAGAGAACACGAAGTGGTTGTCACGGCACTCTTTTATTTGAAAATTAAAATACGCGGGATTTTTGCAGGGGTAGGGTGGGTAGTGTACCGAAGTCTTATGCGTCATCCTGTAAGTTCAGAGCACTCAGGGCTTGTTGTTTAGCTTACAAAGCGTTTATGTTTGATCGCCCTGAAATGGAAAGAAAACAGAACAGGTTAGCAACATCGTACATGGTGATTTTGACTCCGGTAAAACACTAAGCACTGCCCTCAGTGCCTGGTCTCGGACAAGGATATGCTGCTCCCCCTACAGGCGGTATCTCATATAAACTAGTAGCAGGTGATGGATCTGTGAACCGAGCATCAGCAGGTACTGTTGTTTGATTGTAGTGCACCGTTATTACGTCGTCCTGAGGTCGTTGCGGGTTACGTAACACAACTGTCGTGTGGAATCATATGAGGGTCGTGCCAAGGCTGGTAGAATTTACTGAAACCCCCTATTGATGTCATGTGGCGGCGTAACCAGACGCGATCTCCAACTTCATACACTGGTCCTTGCACCCGACGATCATACATGTCTTTTTGACGGCCACTAGCTCTGCGCGAGTTGATGTTGACTAAGCGGTACGCATCAGCCAGGCGGTTACGGAGAGTACGGATGTACAGTACGTGTTCGTGTTTTTCTCACGGTAGTAAAGGCTAGTGTACCTCTACCGGGGGGCGTGGTTCATGTCCGAATAGTAAAATAGCAGGTGAGAATCCCGTAGACCCATGTATTGATGTTCGATAAGCTAGCATGCATTGAGGAAGCACCTCATCCCACAACTCGGATGACGATCTGCTGATCAACGATTAGAACAACACATATAAGCGAACAATATTGTTTTGGATTAGATCGTCATCAGGCTTTACTCTAATATACATGAATATTCATATGAAAATGTTAAACCAATCAAGGCAATTTGAGTGATAATCACAATGAAATGAAAAAGATTACGTAACTACATCTAATAGGCAAAAGTTCAAGTGGATAATAGGAAAACAGGTGTACTGATAGTAGTAAGAAAATTTATAAAATATGATAACTAAAGTAGGTCAAGGGTGGATGAATAGAATTCAAATAATCATCAAAAACATCAAAAACATTACGTAATAAGCAAATGTGTAAAAAAAAATAAAATCAAAAATCAAAAAATTAATAAAAATATGTCAATCATTAGTTACGTCATATCCGGCCACGGAAGAGATAGGGGTGTCACGAATTTCTTCTGAACACATAAATTAGGGTTAAATGTACGTATTCCTATGGCTTCTGCAATGTGTAGGAGACGGGATCGAACTCCGTTGGGAAGTGATGGAGGTATACGATAGATCACCCGAAAAGATCTAGATTTATCTACAATGTGACCACTATCTACCAGGTGTGCTAAGATAGAACTGCGTATTGTTTTTGACTGACCCTTCGTAAACCATGCTGGGAGATGTTCACTCATTCGTTGGTTAAGTTGCCTGGAAGTACGCCCGATATAGCTATCTCCACAGGAGCAGCTGAATTTGTAAATGCACATAGAGGAGGCCAGCTCAGGTAACTTATCTTTCGTTTGAGTAGACATCACAGGTCGACTGGAGAAAGTCAATGCAAGTTTTGCAGCGTTAAATG